ATTATATTTTCCAGAGAATTTATGCCCCTATTTATACATGACAAAATCTTACTGGCCTTAGCAACTGCAGATTGATATTGCTGCCTAAATTGTTGTCTATAACAATTCCCAAATCCTTCTTGTGTGTGATTATCCCTAATTCACTACCATGTAGGCTTGTGCATTCTTGACCCCAAATTGTATAATTTTGCATTTCTCTAGATTAAATTTCATCTGCCATTTTAGTGCCCAGTTCCCCAATCTAGATAAAAAAAACTCTGTAGCAAAGTAATATCCTGCTCACATTTTATTACTTTACAAAGTTTTGTGTCATCTGCAAACACTAAAACATGGCTTTCAATGCCTATTGCAATATCATTTATAAATATGTTAAATAGAAGCAGTCCCAAAAGAGAACCCTGAGGGACACCACTTACCACTAATGTCCAGCTTACAAATTTACCATTAATGACAACTCGTTGAACTCTATCCTTAAGCCAATGTTCTACCCAAGAACAAGAATATTCATCTAGACCAATTTCTTTTAATTTGTAGACTAACCTATTGTGAGGAACCGTGTCAAATGCCTTGGCAAAATCCAAGTAGATCACATCCACTGCAACAGTCTAAACTTCTACTTACTTCTTTGTAGAATGCAATTAGGTTAGTTTGACCAGACCTATGTTTCATAAAACCATGCTGATTATCGCTAATAAAGTTCTTCCTAATGAATTCCTGAATATTATCCCTTAATAGCCCTTCAAATATTTTTTTCAGTCACAGAAGTTAAGCTCATAGGTCTATAATTTCCAGGCAAGGATTGTGAGCCCTTTTTAAATATAGGAACAACATCTGCCTTCCTCCATCCTCCTGTACAATACCTAAAACAAAATAATCTTAAAAGATTAAATACAAAGGTTCACTTATTTCCACTTATTAAAGGATACTAAACTAACTAACTTAACTACTTAAGTACTCGTGAGTGAATAACATCAGGCTCTGGAGTTTTATTTACATTTAAGTTTCTTTAACTGCTGTAGCACCTTGTCTTGAGTCATCCATTCACAAGTTATCTGCAAGGTTTTTGCAGCAATCATTTGCATATCTCTTGCCACAGGATCCTCATTAATATATAATGAAGAAAAATTATTTAAAATTTCTGCCTTTTCCTGGTCTTCATTAACTAACAGAACCGTCTATGTTTCAGTGTACCTACACTTTCCTTTTTTTTTCCTTTTTTTTTTAGAATTGATATACTTGAAACATTTTTTGGGGGTTGGTTTTGCATTATTTGGTATCAATTTCTCATTTTCTAGTTTAGCCACTTTAATTGCCTTTTTGCAAGCATTATTGGCTTCCTTATATCTTATATAGAATGCCTCTGATTTGTCCGATTTAAATGCTTTAAATGCCCTTTTGCTATTTTTAATCTCTTGTTTTACTTCTCTACTAAGCTACATTGGTTTCAATTTGTTTATTTCATATTTATTACCCAACGATACTGACAAATGTACCTTTCTAATATTTGTTTGAAGAGCTTTCATTTATCCTCAGTGGTTTTTTTCACTAAGGAGTTTATGCCAGTCGATATGTTGTAGAGCTGCCCTAATCTTATTGAAATTGCTTTTGCTTTTTTGAGTTTATTTGCTTTTTTGTTTATTTAAAAATAACCATATTGTAATCACTATTTCCCAAATGCTCCCCTACTTGAATGTTTTTCAAAAGATCAACATTGTTTGTTATAATGAGATCCAGACAAGCATCCTTTCTAGTTGGTACTTGTACCAGTTGTGACATGGTGTCATTTAACACATTCAAAAACCTGAGCCCCTTGCTGAAATTGTGAAATTGTATCAATATTACATACCTCCTCTGTTCTGAGCTTACTCCTCCCCCATCTCTACCTTCCTTATACTGAGCTATCTCCAATTTCTAGATTGCAACAATTCCAATGTGGGCAAGGCAGAGACACAGTTGAAGGCCATGACACAGAAATTCACGGAGAGGGGTTATGATACCCGAGTATTGGAAGACGCACTGTTGAAGGCTAAATCAGCCCCGGTGGCGCCAAGGTCTGACCCCACACAAAGAATTATGTTTCCTATGACCTTCCACAATTCTTCCAGCCTGGTATCAGCGGTGATCAAAGAAAATTGGAAGATGCTTGCCACGGATGACACGCTGCCAAAGGCTTTTAAAGAACCTCCATTGATTTGTTTCAGGAGAAACAAGTGCCTCAAGGACATGTTGGTGCACACGGACCCCGTTGAAAGCTATTCTAAGAATGTCAAGCACAACATACGGGGTTGCATATGGTGTTTAGGGTGTGTGACCTGTAGTCATATGATACCAGCAAAAAAATTCAGCCACCCACACACCAACAAAGTATATGAGATAAGATACACTATTACTTGCAAAACCCTGTGAGCTAATTAGGGGCCACCGCTCGAATATTAGGTTAGAGTACAGGGATGAGCAATCAGATAAGCCAGTAGCCCAACATTTTTTGGATAAGAAACACCTGCTGGCAAGCCTTAAGTTTGTGGGTATAGACCATATCCAACCCTCCCGTAGGGGTGAAAATAGAGGTAAAGTGTTGCTCCAAAAAGAAGCCTTTTGGATACACCAATTAAATATGGGGCTCAATGAGAATATCACATACAATGCCTTTATTTAAAATATCTCAGCTTGTTACTTAAATATAGAAATTGGATACAGTTTCTAGGATGTAGATGTTGTATGTGAACCTATATTTTTTGTGTATGCATTATACAGTTAGCTTTATTAATGTTTTTTTTCTTTCTAAATCACGGCACTGCACTTTACTTGCATGATATCACTTTATATTTACTTAAGAACTTTGAAATGTATAAATATTTTAATAACACTATGATACCACTATACATTGTGATGTTGACATCACCATTTGACTTACTAAATAATTTAAACCTGTCACTTTAAGCACGAGAATACCAGGTTGTTCCTGACCATAAAATTTGAGTTTGGATACCTTTATTATTCTTCACTAGTTTACAATACCTTGCATGTCTTAGCATGCTTACACTATATTATTGTCTGATCAGCACTATCATTGATTCACTACTTTGGGCTCACAGCACGGCTCTCTCTCTATACTGCAAATATCCTTTCTCATACAGGAGGAGGGTTTGCTGGTATGGTCACCATGGTGACCGCACTTCACATTTACATATGACGTCAACATGCACGGGGGGCAGAGCATGTGAGCGAGTGCGCACGCATACCCGGACGTCCTTTCAGTTCCGATGGTAGGTGGGTGTAACACACCTGGGTGAGTTTTATTTTTAATAAGTATATATTGTTTGTATGCATAACATTTGTTGTCCTGTGATTTTTGACCCTGAAGAAAGTCCCGAACAGGGATTGAAACGTTGGTCACTATTTTTTAACTCAATTAAATAAAGTTTCATTTTTTAAGACCGGTGAGCAGCCATTCCTTTCTGGATATTGTGTCATGTGGAGCTCTGGTTGATGCGCCCAGTAGTGAAGCATGAGTGCAGGGGATTTTTGCTATATATATATATATATATCTATCTCACTTTATATTTACTTAAGCACTTTGTATTGTATAAACATTATATATAAAAAAGGCAAAAATCTCCTGCACTCAAGCTTTAACTGCTTCACTGCTGGGCGCATCAACTAGAGCTCCACATGACACTATATCCAGAAAGGAATGGCTGCTCTGTTAAGAAGGATTCGAAAGTGAGAGACAGTGAAGAGAGAGAAATTCACAATAACCTCTTTCTTTAACTGCAACACGGCAGGCATTGTTTATCTACTGACGTGCCAATGCCCCTTTAAAAAAACGTATTCAAGAGCACATCAGATCACCTAAATATTTGACTGATAATCCCATCTCAAGACATCTTAGCGAATATCATGAGAGCAACTCCAAGGGCTTAAGGTTTTGCGGCCTTGAACTGGTTAGGAAAAACACAAGGCGAGGTGATTACGATAAGTTCCTTAGACAAAGAGAATGCTTTTGGATTTACCAACTTAAAACATTGAGCCCAAAAGGTCTCAATGAAGGATTCTCATTTTCTCCTTTTTTATAATATTCTGGCTTTACTGTGTATATTTGTAAATATCCCTTCCCCCTAAGTATGTATATGGAGACATTTATGCCCCTTTTTATAATAATAATAATAATTTTTTCTAATGTGTTTTATTTCATCTTTTTATTTGGTAAAGTAAAAACTCTTTTGAGGTTTATATCTATACCCACCTGTTATGATCTCTACATCATAATAGCCTTTAGATAGTTCTCACTTTTTCTAAGAAACTTTTACTTTGTACTTTAAAGCATATGGTTCCTACCTGTTGAGATAATCTATTCTCAATCAAAACTTTTTTGACAGATTAATTAGTCTGTACACCTTTAGGAATGTGCACCCATTAGCCTGTTTTGCCATATTAGTGTAGTATTTTGTCAAATATATTTTATATATTTTTTTTTTTTACAGTCTTTTTTTTGTTTTTATTATTACGAATTATATCTTGCATATTATTTCAGAGTAATACAACACTTTGTCAGATATAAGCTAATATAAATTCTGTCATTGCATATGATATGTAAAAAAAGTCAAAATATATGCAGTCAAAAAAAAAAAAAAAACAGGTCAGATTTCAAGCTTGGCAAATCAACAAGTTGAAGTTGCCAAGACGACCAGTATGTAATCATTGCAAAAATGGATCCAGGTGAAATGGTTAAATTGTGCGCCATATAATTTTACAACTCCACCTAGACATAAGGCTTCAAAATATTCATTAAAAAAGAAAAAAAAGAAAACACAGTCACAAGGATATATCTGTTATATTGCACAGTAGAAAATGTTAGGCATTTTGTACAGGATGCTGAAATTGGCTTGGTCTTTGGTGCATGAACCAAAGAGAGACATTTTAGTGAAGTTTTGTTCAGCTGCTCATTTTGGTTTTGTAACAGGTGCACTTTTCTTCTTTGCTTGAGTACTTCCAACATTCTAGTTTTCGCCATTTCTGCTTTGAATAGCAGCATTAAAGTGACGTTTTCCATCTAAATAAAGCATGGACTCTCCATATGTCTGGGGTACAATTCTAGGTACTTCTTCTTCGGATGAGAAAGTAAAGTGAAAGATGTTGGTTGTGTGGTGCTCTCTAGTAACTGGATCAGATACCTCGCTGTGCACTCTGACCTGCATGTAGTTACCATGTGTGTAACACACCTGTGCAGACAGGAATAATAATGATCCAATTTCCACAGGTTTTTGGAACATGATGTCATCAACAGCCACAATATACGGTCTAGAACCACCATAGGAACAAGCTGTGGCCCAGCCCAGTTCATACGCCTTCCTCATGAGAAAACCTCCAAAGATTCGGTTGAATATATTTCTTTGCTGGGGGTGACAGATCTCCAGGCCCTTAAGTTTTGCATCTTCCATCTATATTGAATTTGGAGGCAAGATGCGGCTACTAAAACTTACAGTCCTTGAGTCTAGTGTGTTTAGAAACAGATCATGTACAATATTTCGTTCTTCTCCTGTTGGAGCCATTTTCAGTAAAGATGCTGTGCTGAAAGCAACTCGTCTCATTTTGTTTGATTCTCCTTGTTGGAATAGGTTTTCTTCTTCAGGACCGTCCGGGACTAATGGGTTAACATAGGCTGGCCTTGACTAAGCCTCCAGCCTTCCTACTGCATGGGTTAGCTTGATGAAATGGCAAACAATATCCTGCCCTGCCGTTCAGTGGTTTTACTCTGACTGTTCTGTTTCTGTCACTGTCTCCTCTTGTTCTCAGGATCTCTGGCCACCATTACAAAAGTTGCATCAAGCACAGGACTGTACACATCGCCATGGAGCTGTAACATGTGCATTTTGACTTCCATGGATGTTTTCCCAACCCACGAAACATGCCCCGTGAACTTGATATCACAGTCAGGGGAAATAAGATGCTTCTGTAAATCTATTTTATCGACCAAGGCAGTGACAATTGATAAAGGAGTCTTGCCAGATTCAGCCTTTGTATGAGTATAACAAATGAGCACTCCCAGGCTGTCCAAGTCTTCCAGGATTCTCCCAAATCTCACAATGTTGTACACATTCAGATACTTTTCTCTCAGTTGTGGCTGACTACCAAGTGGCAATGAGACTTCGATGTAGCTGTCTTTCATTTTCCGTGCTGGGAGGTCTTCTTGCTTCTTAGCCAGCAGGGACTGTAGAGACTTTCTTTCCTCCATGGCCTGTACATGATCACTCCAGTTTGTAGAAGCTCCCACTATAGCCCTCAATGTATCACGCACTGAAATAAAAGCAGAGCAAACAGGGTTATACGGTAAAGAGGACAGATTATTCTTGCAACAAATAGGATAAAAGCCTATGATAATCAGAACAGAGGGAATGACAGATAGGAAAAAAAGACAGCTCCCCAGCTGTCTATGTAGCAAACATGAAACTTATTACCAAGATGCCAAAATAAGCCATAGGTGCATTGTCAACGAATTTAAAAAGGGACACCATAACAACTGCATGACAATTAAGTTATGGTGTGAGGAGGTAATTTACCTGAAGGGATTAACAAATGGTCTAACCCAGAAGTCTGTCCCAATTGCTATATCCCTTTAAATTATATAAAAAATAAAAATATATTTTAAAGAAGTCTATATAATTTCTTCAGATAGGCCTAACACTGATTGATGGCTTTGGAAATATAAGATATTAAAACGCTAGAATACATTATCAAGGAAGAAATCAGCTTGACCAGCAAAATCTGCAGAAGAAAAAAAAAAACAAACGTGTTAAAATGTGATATAATATGGGATAAAATGGGATATAAGTATAATAAAACTGTACTGAAAATGCATATTTAAATATGTTTACAGTATTTCATTTATAAATGGAAGGTATGAAAAGATATAAAATAAATAGTTTGGAAAAAATGCTAAAAAAACTTTCTAATGATTTATTCCTCCACCCCACCCCCCAATTATCTAGACCCACATGGCTAAAGAGTGAAACAAAACCTATTTAAGAGACTTTGGGGCATTTGTCAGCTGATTCTATTTTAAGATTGAGGCAGAAATTAGGAGATTAATTTGCTGATGGAAGTGTAAAGTCTGCACTAGTACTCTCAGACTTGATCAATATCTCACTCGGCATCTTTATAAATGCCAGAACGCTGTGCAAATTATATCGCCATTCTACGGTCCTTGTGTAAAGGTCACAATAAATTAAATAGCTACCCTTGCCTTCTCAAAAATAGCACTGTTTCAGTCATTAGCCAAGGAGTTCTTTTTCTGTAGCATAATGAAGGCACAGCCTTTATTAAAAGCCCCCATGCTCTTGTTTAGCAGACATGCAGCTGAAATGCAGTTTTGCCGATGAGCACCGCAATCCACCATTGTCTTGGCATTTGTGCTGCGATCTAGTGCTTCTAAGGGAAGGAAATGTATCACAGGTTACATTGTGAGAAGTAAACCAAAGACAAATAATTATAGACGAGTGATAAGGTCACAGTGACCATAATAACCTAAATGAGTACCATAATCACTGCACTGAGCTCTTGTGTGGGCATTTCTCACTTGTTCTTGTCAAATCATTTGGAAACAATTGGAAGAAATACAGGGCTTTCCATGATGTCCAGATATATCCCCACATCTGCTGCATTGTTAATGGACGGCACATGGATGAGAGAGCTGGGCACTGGCTTACCACTATATGAAACTGTTGTCTAAGTTGTCCAACATTGGTAGGCTATAATAGACTGCAAGCGGGGGAGAAAGTGTATCTGCGTTGTCTGAGTGGTAGGTAAGGGGATGGGCTTTGTGTGCTTAGACCGGGTTTACGTCACAATCTTCATACCCAGGCTGCGTGATGTTTGTGCTCCCATTAAAGAAGACATGGACTGCTCAACTTTGCTTTCACTGAGCACCACAATTATGGAACAACGTCCCAGACACATTTAAATCTTCCTCCACTCTAAAATAATTTAAGAGATCCCTGTCAACATCTCAGTACAGAATGCACATGTAATCATGGTTAATTATTTATATTTTTAACTTTTTCTGCATTAAATATGTATGTGTATTTTAATATTACTTTGTCTTTTTAATTTTATACTGTACCCCATTGTAACACTGCAAGGTTGGTGGACCCAGATATTTTATATTTTCATCATTAAGATATATTTTCAAATGAGCCATTTCTATATAAACCAACAATTTTCTTATTTATTTTTCATTATCTTTCCGAGAATTTAGGGGTTAACTTTTTTGGACTTGTACACAGTGTTCCACTATTACTCATTTTAATTTTTATTTATTTATTTATATATTTTCGTTAGTTTATTTTAACATTTATTGAAACAAATGTATCAGTTTGATTTATACAGATACATATTTTTCTATTTTGGGCTGTTTGACTTAATCAAATGTAATGGGCTGTTTTCTCCTGTCATTCATTTACGTTGCAGCACAGGGTTGGTCGTATGACGTATTTTTGGGGGGCAGGTCTTTACCCCTTAAATACTCGGCGGGCTTGACACGATCTTACCGCTCTTGATAAAGGTGCCACACAGCGCCGAACCGCGTGTCGAGTAAGACGCCAGACTTAGGCTCTATGGGTTCCTGCTGATATAAAGGAAAATTGTTTCATACTTACCGTAATTTTCTTTCCCTGATAATTATTCATGGCAGCATTTACTCATGGGTTAGCTCCTCCCCTCACAGCAGAAAGGACAAGAAATAGAACTTTGAAACTGGTATAAATAGATCCTCCCCCTTCCCATCAGGCAGTCTTTGTAACTAGCTTCACAACTCTTATAATATATGGGTGGGAACGTAATGCTGCCATGAATAATTATCAGGAAAAGAAAATTACGGTAAGTATGAAACAATTTTCCTTTTTCCTGACCATTATTCATGGCAGCATTTACTCATGGGTAATACCCAAGCAGTAAATATAGATGGAGGGACAGAGTTCAAAAACAGCTAATAGATACAAAACCATTATTGAGCTGTATAAATCTTAGAAGACTTTACAAAGCCAAACAAGAATCAATAGGATATTGTCATAAAATCTGCTCAGACAAGTTAATTTTCCCTAGAGGCTGCAAGGTCAGCAACCTCCTGTCATTCAATATCTGAAATATCCTGAATAGATATAGAGTCAGATAGGAATTAAGGCCATGATAGCATAAGCTAGGGAAGGAAAATGTAATTCTGATATAAAATTTAAAACCAAATTGATGACATAATCAAATCAGTACCTCGACAAAGGCATAACTTCCAGAGATCATACTGCAACAAGCAGATAATGTTGGATGAAAACGGACACACCATGCTATTAAACACGGGGAGAATTACACTGAGAATCCTACTACTTACTGGATGTATTTATTAAATATGATTCACACTGCTTCCTCTTGCCTAGTGAACTACTTACCTGAAGATACAGGAACAAATAAATATCTGCCTGTCAGAAAGAGGCAGAGCCTAGTAGAGAAATAAGGGTCTGTTATTAAAACACTTCAACAATGACCTTATGTTGCAAAAAAATCAGACTCATGACAATACCTCACACCGTGGATGAATTGATACAGGAATGATCAGTCACAGTAGAGGAATAAACCAATAACATTACTAGGCAAAGGCAAGAAGAATCATACACAGATTAGTTGAGGAAAAAAATAAATATTGGTATGAACCGTAGAATTTGTGACAACTATTAAATTATAAGGAGACCAACCACGTCAGTACCTACATTTGTAAATAGTACAGATTATGCCAAACAGTATAATCAAATTTATTAGAGACTGTTGTGCAACATAAGTAAGAGATATGTAATAGGCAAGATACTGATGGGAAGGTGGTAACCAGAGGCACATTATACATTGTAGCAACAGACACATAATAAGCAGGATAGTAGAAGATATTCTGTTATCCTTATGAGAACAACAACCCTATACTTACTCTTACCTTATCTTCAGATAGTGATGAAGTACTTATGGCAGAGCCTATGGTGATAATAAGCAGCTTGTTATAGCTGCAAGATATCAACACCAATCCAAGCATATAATCCACAAGTATTAAATCAATGCAATGTTAGGAGTGACCATAACTTATATCGATCTAGGTACAGGGACCATGTAAAACATATCAGTCAAATGTTTGTCATCAACAAGCTGCATTACATTATATTATGCAGGATGAATCAACCACTTAAAGCCACACATAGATTGCAATTCCAGATATAAGGACACCTAGAAGAATCCCTATGAATATCAGACGAGAGGGTCGAAATGGAACTACTTGTTCAGGGATTTCCTCTATTGTTCTGGTAGCAGGTGAATTTTACCTGAAATAGTAAACTTGGTAGAATGGTCTGGGGACTGGAAAGACCTCAAATACTTATCAAAGTTACCTGGAGCATATGAGCCTAAAAGAATA